AATTACTGGGTCAGCCAATGACACCAAGAAACTTGTGTTGGATTTCCCATTTTCCAAGTACATTTCCTCCCACTGCATCTGGGAGATGTTGTTGTTATGATTTGAAGCTGGCTGGCAGCTTGGGGAGCTGAAGATAGCAAGATAGCTAGATAGCTGTGTTAGATAGTCTCAATAAAGTAATCTTTTACATTTGGAAATTCTTCTTACAATACTACATAGATCAATGTACAACAACCTGGTGACTATGTCAGAATTCTGAATGGGCAATAGCAACATAGCAGGATTCCATTACTGTAGGATTATGGTAACATAAGCTATGACACATATGATTGGATGTATGGTTATATTACTGTAATATTATGGTAATCAAAAAATCCATTTTTCTGGTATGGTGGAAAAAGCAGTATGAAGACACTGCTGAGACTCTTAGTGACCTCCGTCAGCTGTTTCAAATGAAAATGCAAAACCATGAGCTGTAACCTCAGCAGCTAAAACACAAACTCGGTGCCAAACTATTAACACATATCAGGTTATGGTATCCAATAGTGGTTGAGGCCGCCAAGCACACAGTTGTTCATGGGAAGTGCTGGTGTGATAGAGGATGATCCAGTGGAATGGAGGATGGTTGCAGAGTAACTAACTAGTGCTGCTGCTGCCTGGAAGAAACCTGCCCCAAGTCTAGCACCATGCAATGGAGACCTTGTACTCCGTACTCCGTAGAGTGTGAATAGACAGGCGATTCTGCATGCTGGTTAACTAACTAAAGAGTGAGTTTAAGCTTGACACACGGACCACCCAAAAATAATTTCCTGGAGAAACACAGGCTACAAACAGTTGAATCGACAACTCCCAAGTACCGGAATGAATATGTCCGAAACGACAGCCGCCGAGGCTTCGAAGCCAGTGCACACCATAATTCTCGATGCCGGGCCTCTGATCAAAAACGTCCCGCCCATTTCCACCCTCCTCGCTCAGTCCCACGTACTCCTCACCACCCCCGCCGTCGTCTCCGAAATCCGCGATCCAGATGCCCGCCAAAGAATAGAGACGCTCTACCTTCCTTTCCTCGAGCGACGGTCCCCCAAGCCCGAGAGTTTAAGGGTTGTTGCTGAATTTGCGCGAAAGACGGGCGATCGCGAAGTGCTGAGCCGGCCAGATTTGGAGATCCTGGCCCTGGCATATGAGGTGGAGTGCGAGAGGAATGGAGGCGATTGGAGGCTGCGAAAGGTGCCGGGCCAAAAGGGGATTAATGGTGCGCCTCCGACGAAAGAGACGCAGCCGGTGACTGAGAAGAGCGATGAAAAGGCGGAGATGACAGAAACTACAGATGGAACGGAGGCGCTGGCAACGGATGAGTCGGTTAACGATGTTACAAAAGTATTGGAAACAACAACATTGGAAAATAGCGATGATCAGACTGAACAGCGGACCGATCCAGTTGCTCGGTCGCCGTCTAATAACGTCGATGCAGAAGATGGCTCTGATGGCACCGACGAGAACACACAGGACGACGAAGGCTCGGATTCGGATGATGGCTGGATCACGCCGTCCAACATTAAGAAACGACAAGCCCGCGACTCAGCCAAAGTTGCCGGGTCTGCTGAAACCAAAACCATGCAAGTCGCGACCATCACGACGGACTTTGCAATGCAGAACGTGCTCCTTCAAATGAACCTCAACCTACTCTCTACCACCAATTTAGAGCGGATACGGCATCTCAAATCATACATACTTCGCTGTCACGGCTGCTTCTTTACTACCAGAGAAATGACCAAGCAGTTTTGCCCGCGATGTGGACAACCGACTCTGACTCGTGTCTCCTGCTCTACAACGGCGGATGGTGGGTTCAAAATGCATTTGAGAAAGAACATGCAATGGAATACTAGAGGGAATAAATTCAGCATCCCTAAACCTATTGCGGGTACTGCGAGCGGCAAATGGAGTGGTGATGGAGGTGGCCAGGGAGGTTGGGGATCAGAGCTGATTCTTGCTCCAGATCAAAAGGAGTATGTTCGGGCCGTGGCAGAGGAGGGGCGAAAAGCCAGGAGAGGTAGAGACCTGATGGATGAGGATTATCTGCCCGGCATACTGACCGGCGAAAGAAGTCGAACAGGCGGCAGGATCAAAGTGGGAGCGGGTCGAACAGTCAACTCGAAACGACGGAGGTGATTGGAGGGGGTTCTGTTCTGAGTTTTTGCAGCATTGTTTGGAGCATAAAAGTCATGACATTTTGATGATTGCGAAATATATTCAAGGTGTTTTCTTGGTATTCAAATCAAAGATGTATTCCCAGGACTAGGTATGGACAGTCAGATAACATCGACACATTCCCGCACCCCTCCCCATGTATGGTTAAACGCCGATTCGCCAAAGCTTGCCGTTAAAGAGTTTCACATTTTCGGTTCTATAGGAGCGCAGCGTCAGAAGGCATGAAAATATTCGGGCGTAAATAACGAGCATACCAGGTTGTTGCGTCAGGAGCAATCCGTAACGCTTTTTAAGTGTGACTCGGTGTCTATCGCACGGCGTTTGTGTCAGCCCATACTCCCAATTCGAAAAGAAGCGAAAGAATAATGAATACCTGGAATATTTATCATCAGGCGAGAATCTAGCCGGGTGTGCCGATTTTGTAACTTGGCCGTTCAGCACCTTCTTGAGGGTGTAGACACGCTTCCCCTGGTCGTCGAGAGTGTACATAAGATGCATGCTTGCGGGAGAGTTAGTAAGTCGGCATATATTCGCAAGATCGCGTTTCACTTACTTGACGATGGGTATCCAAACCAATCCTGCGCACTGTGGAAATAAGTTGCTGAGATCTGAGATTCCAATTAACTACCAGCTCGACAAAGTGAATTTCGATTTTTGGATTTTGGGAGCCCGGAATGCGGAGGATTGTTTCACCGGCCGCACCGTGAAAACTTCGTTCCCAACTTTCCGAAAGTCTCTTCTTCTTTGCTTGTCAACAACAGTCCACGCCGCGCGAAGACATGCAAGCCGGGCTCTTTTACAACTAATTATAATGACACTTTTTGACCTATAAATACAGCGTTTCTTTTTCTTGTTTTATAATTCATGTTGTCACAGATGCTCAGGCTATCTTCTGCTACTGTGAGTCAAGCCTTGCTCCCGTCTGATATCGCGGTCAACAGCCATCTACCCATGTTCCGATGATGACACCATTAGTAGCCTAGGCAATGGCACTGATTTCTAGCTGTTGACCCATGCTGGCTCTTTTAATAGACTACAACGGTATCTGAGGAACATGGCGCTGATTTATGTGTGCCTTGATGCTTTTTGAGAACTCAAAAAGGACAAGAACTCGAATACTAATTCTAAGTATTATAGAACTGCTTCATTTAGCACCATTATAGAGCCGATGGCTTCACCCGCTAAACTGAGTGCGAATGGCAGCGCCTCCCAAGCAGATGGGCAGAAAGATGCCACCAAATCGCGGGCGCCACGCCGGCGTCGACCTAATTACAAACACATACACCGCTTCCCATTACCTTTAACCGTCCATCCTCTGCCACCTTTGATACCCCATAACCCTTTGTCACTCATTAGCATTGCTCTTTCTTACCTTACATACCTCATTTCTCCACCCAAACATGAAATTTATAAAGCATATTTCGATGCTCCCACTTCCTCTGTTCATGTCACGGATCCAAAAACCATTCGTGCTCTATGGGAAATGGGCTTCTTTGGTAAAGGAAATCTAAGTAGGAGCGAGCCGACATGGCTGGATCGTGAAAAGAAGCGGAAAGGCTTGCTAGGAGTAGATACTAGCGAGGAGGCTACGGGAAACAGAAGAATGGAGCGTCGAGAGTGGAAGCTCGAACGAGCCCGAAAAGAGAAAGAAGCGGTCGCTGAGCAGCTCCGCGCTGAGGCTGCCGGTCTTCATGGAGAAGGCCATAACGCGGAGCATAACGCGGAGCAATCGCCTAGCACTATGACATCGCCAGACATTCGTGCCCATGAGTCTATCGAACACAGACTTAATGCTGTCTCGGGCTTGGCGCCATTGCTAGTCTCGGAATCTGTCAACAGAGAGGATAAGAAGCCGGCTGGCCATGGGACCAAAATTGTACGCTTCTCATCAGTAGTAGATACTAGAAAGTATGAGAAAGAAGCAATTTTGGGGGAACCGTCAAAGCTTGCAGAAGTCGATTCCTCGCAAATCATAGACGAGGAACATCTTCAGTTGTCCAATGAGGAAGCCTTTTTCCTTGTCTACGGCCTTGGGGTACTCCAGGTCTACGAATCTAATATGAAGTCTGCTATCTCCACTCCCCAACTTTTATCCTTGTTTCGCCGTCATTCCTATTTTCCACCACGAGATGAGTTCCTGCCGCTTGAGCCAGACGACCGGTTCATTGTCTCTTACGTTGCATACCATCACTTTCGCTCTCTCGGATGGGTGGTGCGTTCAGGGGTCAAATTCGGCGTTGACCTGCTCCTTTACAATCGAGGCCCCGTTTTCTCCCACGCGGAATTCGCGGTGGTCCTATTACCCGCATACGAACATCCATACTGGAGTGAGACCGAAGAAAGGCGGGCAGCGGTCACGAAGAAGTGCAGGCATACCTGGTGGTGGTTCCACTGTGTGAACAGGGTGCAAGCCCAAGTCAAAAAGACTCTAGTATTATGCTATGTGGAAATACCACCTCCTGCACCGGAGACAGAGGAAGATGGCGGTGAACTTGATATTGGAGCCTTACTTGAAAGATATGCCGTCCGCGAGGTGACGATAAGGCGCTGGGTCCCCAATCGGAGTAGGGATTGACGCTTCAGGCCTTGGGTGTGTGGTCGCTGTCAGGTCCTCTCCTGTTCTACGCAGTTAAATCCGGGGGCATAGGTCAATAATGTAAGTTTCCATAATAGCTTTATTTGAATTGGAATCCTATTAGTTGTTTCCTCACCTCAATCTCCATCAGGATACAATCTGAATACTCAAAATAAACAGCATAGCCCGTCCATATCACTATAATTAAGCCTCTTATCATCAAGTTATATCTGGGACATATTCCTGCTACTCAAGTGTCAATATGCCTATCGGAATGCTGATTTCTGAAGGATCAAACTTTGTCATATTACACTTTGATACAGCACTAGCCCCCTTTGGTCTGGCGCGGGCACTAGCTAAGTTGTGAATGAGTTAAATTACACTTTGTATTGTAACTTCAGTGTATCAACAAGACGCGCCGCGGACGAACGACAACCGCGACTGAGAGACTGTGGGAGAAGACGAAGCACTGTCTGCTCTGTCTTGGGCAATGGAGACACAGGATGACAGCCTTGATTTGACATACCTTAAGCAGGCAGCTTTAGGAATTGATGTGCGTATTGACACCACTGTCTTAATTGCTCGTTCCTGTGGTTTACAACTAGTTAACGCGCTGACCTTGTGAACAGGAACCTCTCTGGACAACCGCGAGAGCAACAGCTGAAGCCGAAAGGGGGCTTTCTGATGGAACTCACAAATATGGGACATTACAAATTGACCTTGTTGTCGCCGCGGAGATGGCTTCTAACCAACCAACCTTTGATGCGAGCGGCGCTCCTCTCTTCTCCTACCACCACGATGACAATCTTGACCCAACAAGACAGTTCTCTTCGCACACGGAGGCCTGGAACCGGATCCCTCGATTTCCAAATAAAGTGATGGATTTTACAGATAGCCCCCCGGGGGATACTCAGCTTGTTTCGCAGTCTGTATATGACAAGATCCTGAGGCAAGGGAATGGAGGAGCCGAGCAGTCGATGCCCGGCCCTGGGGAGGGGCCAGAAAATACTGAAGGTGCCATCACACAAAGGACTCTAGCTGAAGGAGATACGGGACACCTGGACCTCCTAGTTGATTTGGATGATACTGTACACAGGGCTAGTGAAGGAGGAATCTTGTCCTGTCATGATGATGAAGATTCTTCCCCGGCTCGTTACCAACCCTTCCCAGAATCTCAGCGATTTGTCGATTACACACCGCAACGAAACGCCACTACTGGCTTCAATGCTAGCTCTACTACCCCTTTACTGTCCAACAATCCTTTTTCACGTGGGAATAAAACACCTGCTGCTGTTATCTCACTCAGCCAGTTGTTTAATGCGACCCAGGGAGTGTCATCTCCATTGACAAATGCCCACCGTCCAGAACTATCTTCAGACATGCCGTCCCCGAACCTCCCAGTTCAAAGCCGCATAACAGCCACATCGCTATTCTCCCCTCTTCAGGCTATCTCGTCCGTTCCAGGTTCGGGCGTCGCCGAGCCGCAAAACCTCTATGTTTCAATTAAAGATTCCCAAGAGGCGAGAGCGAAATCCGAACGTCAGCTACCTTCCGGCTCGAATTTTCCCTCAGATATCACTAGCGATGACGATCTTTTCGCGGATGACCTATCGATTCAACGACGGTTACGTGAAAAGATTACCGAAAATGAAGTAAGAAGCAGTTTGAATCTGTAACTGCCGTATCAAGGCCGAGTTCTCGCAGGCAAAAGTCAGCTAGTATATCGTCAAGGAAAAATTCCCCAGACCCTAATCGTAAGGGTTTTCCGTCAACTCCCGACGACCGTACTGCCAACAAGACACTTCAATCTGAGACCTGGCCAGAGAGCGAACTAGAAACGGAACAAGAAGATGAAGAAATTAGCTCGAGGTTCTGTGGCTCCGGGGCCCCTGCAGTTGTTGGAGAGGATGATAAGGAAAATGCTGATAGTGGGCTCGTTCAACTGTCCGACCCGACTGTCCTAGCACATGACGCGCTATCACAGGCATTAGAAGTGGAAGACAGCGTTTTAAGCCCTCGAGTCAGGTTAAAAAGCCCCCCGAAGCTTGTCATTTGTCAATCTCAAACATCAAATCCCCACACTGAAGCTACAGTTCCTTGTGGGAGTGATGGCTCAGACTGTGAGAGGGTTTTGAACTCCCAACCATCTAACGAGGAAGTCGATGGTTCTCAAGCCGATGTCCCTACCTCTAGTAAAGATACTGAACTCTTACCCCAAACGTTGAATGCCAGGATGCAGGAGCCAAGCTCACCGGGCGCTAACACGCAAGTACCATCATCACCCCCTTCTCATATCAGTTTGCCCCTAGAGTTGCCAAATGATGGTACAAAGGCGATTCCACGACCGGAACCGTCGCCCGAAATTCCTGCATTTTATTCTCCTAGTCCTAAATCCCGATCTCTGCAAGCTATGGATATTACCAATCGAAGCCTTTCAACCCCCGAAGCTCGAGAGCGTCGTGAAGGCGAGACTGAAAAACGAACTCATTCTGAGACGGTATGCTTAGTGGAAAACAATGTCAGCGAAGATAAGCAAATTTCTTTCATTTCCGAAACGCCTGCTGCACGTTCTATCGAAGATAAAAGTCTCCAACACACAATACCGGAAACCAGTCCGGATAACCAGCTGATACCTTCTTCAACACCTATATACAATCGATCTCGATTGGCAAGCCACGACAATTCGCCCGGAAGCGAGGATGACTTACCCGCCATGTCCCACGTCACCTCCCAGAAAGATAGAAACTCCGGGACGGCTACGTGGCTCCGGAAGAACATGACCACTCGGTTTCAGTCGATCCTTTCAAGTCCAAGCGGCCGTCAACGGCGAAGTATGACCGATATTGCGTCAGACCAATCGCCGCAACAAATCGCCCCCGAAATTCAACTAGAGGACATCGATTTGTTGACTGCAGATGACAGAGCCTTTGATGAAGCAATTATTCACTCGGACAAGCATGTGGCGAAGAGAAGAAAAGTAAATAGTGGACTTGGAATCCGGGCTACTAAATTTGCTATCCCTCAGCCTTTGGGCCTCAGACGTGTTGATGAAAATTTATCAGGCCCTCTAGACGGAACCAGGAGTGAACCGGTCGGGGAAAACATTACGTATAGGCGTGTCGATACCGAACGTTTGCGGTCCCGAGTCAAGACCGGTCCCGCTTCTAGGAGTATCTGGGACCTGGTGGATTCACCACGACGAAAGGGACAAAGTCGCAAAGGCCTTGGGAAACCCTCAAAACCTATAAAACAACCAGTTCCTCCGAGCCAGCCCAATGGCAAGAAAAAATATGCGGTTGCACAAGCGGTTGTTATTTATAATCAATCAAGCTCTTCTCCTGCACCGACCGAAAAGATCACCTCGGATCCTCCAGTTGTCACAGAGAGCCCTGGACTACCCAAGAACAATTCTTTTGAGTGGTTCGATTTCTCTAACCAAGTTTTTGCATTTTTTAACGGGCAACCGCATGGTTACTACCCAGCCGCTTGCGTCGGCATGTCCAATGATGTTGGTCGTCATCGATATCTAGTGATATTTGAGGACTCGAATACCCCAGATGAAATAGATGCTTCCAGCGTAAAGAAACTTGACCTGAAAGTCAACGACATCGTGAAAGTATTCTCACTTGACTTGCCGAGAACTCCGTATCGCGTGGTGGGATTGGCAGATAAACTTGCTGTCAGTGCCCGGTTTCCTAAAGGCAGCTCTCTCCCATTGACTGATATCCACGGACATGCATCTGTGATTCTGGCGCCAAAACAAGGCCAAAAGCTACCAAATGGAGAACAAACTGTTACCGTGCCCATTTCTAGAATTTACCTCGACAAAAATTTATGGTCTCGGCTGGGAACACGGCCGTATTCCTTTCTCTCTTCTGCGAGTAACTCGACTTCGCGGTTCCAAACCCCTATGGATTGTGGCACAACTATTATTACTCCCGCTTTTACCCGTACTCCGCACATAGAGCCTTCAGTCCAGGGGATTTTCAGTGGTATGGCGTTCGCTATATCGTATACACATAATGAAAAAGAACTTTCTCGTTTGGACCGGTTGATCCGAAAAAATGGTGGTCAAATATTGAAAGATGGATTTGACGAGCTTTTCAATCTACCAAGCCCGTCCCTAGAGAACCAGAATCAAACCTTGCTCTTGACCTCCCGCGCAGAGCAGCTTGGTTTTGTATGTCTGATCACAGATAATTACTCCCGTCGCCCCAAATATATGCAAGCGCTTGCCTTGAGCCTTCCTTGCTTATCGGGCAGATGGATCGACCGTTGTCTCGCTAAAAACGAAATTATCGACTGGGTTCCATATTTACTCGCAGCAGGTCCGTCCATGGTCCTTCAGAGGGCTGTGAAGTCTAGGATTCTATCCCCTTATCCCGCAGCTACCGCCCAATTCGCTCAAGCCATACATGAACGACCTAAGCCGCTGGCTGGCCAATCCGTGTTTTCTATTTCGCATCGAGGAAATCATGCAGAGTCGAAAAAGTCCTATACGTTCTTCACTTATGCCATGGGCCCCGATAGGGTCGTCCATGTGCAGAACATGCAAGCGATCCTTGACTTGTTGACCCAAAATCATGGAACGGCTAACGGTGGAATTCAAGATTCGTTACCTGGTTGCGTTTGGATATACGCTGGGGACGAAGAAACAACAAGGTTGGTACGGAAGGCCCTGGTGTCCTTTCCCAGCTCGGCCACGCCCAAAGCCGGAAATGCTCGAGGCCGTGGTCGACCGCCGAAAAAGCGAAAGGAATCTTCGGGTGCGGATAATGCTAGTGTAAATGACAACGTTGATGAATATCTGGTTAACGACAGGAAAGTGAGAATATTGGATAACGAGTACATCTGTCAAGTTTTGATTTTTGGGGATTTGTTTGACGGATGGTCTGATATACAGAACAAATGTCACGAGGCATAAATAGATGTTATCCGCTTTATTACCATAGTCTCTGAAAGGTTAACTCCTCGTGTTGCCGGTACATAGCATCGCAAGATACTCAAATTCCAAGTAGTGCGGAGAGTTTAAATATTTCTGGAAGTGGCTAAATATGTTATCGCTGTGTAGCGTGTATAATTTGCAACTGTCCCGTAGAAGTGAATTGGCACGGTGCAATTCGTGTTTGTTGATTTACGCCATTCATGCGGAATGTGACAATGAATGTGGAATTACGTATCGTTGAGGAGAAAAATAGCAACGTATGAAAATTCCGAATGACCAATTGCATCTATGGTACAACAAAAAAAACGAACTTCTCGTAACTCCAGCAAAGGGAATAAAACTGTGATAGTAAGCCCCTTCCAAACTCGCTTTCCTAAATCATCTCTTTTTCGCCTTCGCTTTGCCCTTCTTCCGGTTCTTCAGCTCCTTCATCTGAGCCGCCCGCTTGATCTTCTCCGTCTTCTTTCTCCAGGCCGTCCACCGATCCTTTCTCCTCCACTCCGGCACCGTAATTCCAGCCTTGTCTGGGAGACGACCAATCTCCCAGTTGCCCTCACGGTACTGATATCCCGGCCTGAGTGGCGGCGACGCGCTCTTTCCCGGCACAACGGCTAGATCCTCAACTTGGCGCGGGGCCGCGAGCATGCCCAAGCGTCGCTTTGTAGGTGCATTTCGAGGGGTGGGAAGAACGTCGTCTCTCGCGAAAGCCACGCCGATGTATTTTCTCGTGGGATGTCGTTGCGGATCACGGTAGTACTTGACGTAGCCTGTTTCAGTAGCGTAGATGGTGTGATCGCGTCCGATACCGCAGTTTTCTCCTGGAAACCATTTGGTGCCCCGTTGGCGGAAGATGATGTTTCCCGGAATCACATATTGCTCGCCGGTCTTCTTGGCACCGAGACGCCGGCCGGGGGAGTTTTTGGAATGCGCATTGGCGGCACCCTGGGCAGCATGCGAGGCATAACGAAGTTGGAAACCGAGTAGCGACGGATGGTGCGAAGGTTTTGTGTGGGAGGAGGAGGAGACGGGTATCCGTGTGCGGAGGAATTGTGGTTGGTTATGAGGGTATTTTGCGGCTTGTGGAAGGAATGGGGCAAAGACGCTTTCGAGCACCCGCGAGGGTACTCGCAACTGAGGTTTGAACATCCCGTTCGACGACAGTAGCTTGGGACTCGACCCCTTCTGTGCATCCGGTGCCTCGATATCAAACCTGAAGCTGCGGTCCGCATGCAGATCGAGCAAAAAGCTAAAGTGTCACGTGACGCTCTTCTTGGCACAGGCTTGGCTGATGGCCGGTGGATTCAAGACAAGCTGGCCTGATGCCGGTCGAGACTCGCTCTCTCATGGATTGAATCTGCGCGTTTTGCCAGGTAGCTTCCGGAAACGATGGCTCGCCTTCTCGTCAGTGTCCTTTTGGGATTGCTCGTCTTCATTTCTACAGCCCACGCGCAGTTCCAATTCTTTGAGCAAATGTTTGGCCAGGGAGGGCAGCAACGTGAATCTCAAGAAAAACGAAATGTCCCAAGCGATAGCGCTTGGTATCAGAAAACCTATGATGGCGGTACGTATGGCACATCCGATTCTCCTTCGCTACAGCCGGCTAACGAATATGCCCTCAGCTCATTGTTTCAAGTACCTCTGCCCCGGAACGTTAGCATGCGTGGATTTCCCCCATCATTGTCCCTGCGCGCATCCAAAAGTTGAAGAAAAGTTTGAACTCGGCGAGGGAAGCGCGATCTGTATCTCACGGGGCGGATTCAAAGCTGGCGAAGCTGCTCGAAAAGTTGAGTTGGCACGGAAAGGCCTTTTGTGATTGTATCAATATGTATACTGGATTTGGCTTATCAGGAGTATGGGCGCTTTTCCGACTATTTTGCATTTCGAATTCTACGTATATCGACAATCGCTCAATCCTCGACATTTGGCAGGGCGCTGGAGGTTTGGGAAAGCCGGCACAGCGCTTTATGATATCTCTGCATTGGGCGTTGGATCATCAACGCCCTTTTCAGCAATAGAAGAAATACCAGACGTGTGGAAGTAAAGATCCTCATGATGGAAAAGTTGGCTAGATTTTCAGCGGCAGTTGTTCCGTAAATATACATTTCTCAGTCTTACAAGTTTCCACACTCTCCATCTTCCATAACAATTTCATTCACAAACTTCGTCAAGAAACGGTGATATAAATCGCGGCTCCCTCTCAGCGCCCACGTCGCTTTCGTCTCAACGAGCTACCTACTTCCAATCAGTCGTCAAATCCTGGGTGATGTCATCAATGTGGCCGAAACGAATAACACTCATCACTCCGTCCTGGTCGGCCTTCAGGACGGCACGGTCAACGCGAGACTCCCGATTCTCGCGCCGGCCGATACGAGATAATCTCTCTCGATCCAGTCGGCACACTAAAAGCCGCCTGTCAAGCAGTCGGTCGGGTGATAAATCTCCCGAATCAAACCAGTCCGGTCAACGAGCTAGTTCGTCGTCGCTTGACGCCCTCTCCTCCACTCTACATGACACGAATCCCCAGAATAACAGCCTACTCGCGCCTGTGCATATCCCAGAAGATCCAAGCGCTGTGCTCAAAGATGGACACCCGGCTACGAGGATACTGGCCAACTCTGGGCTCGTGGTCCAGAGGCAGCTTGAAATGATGAACGTCCTGCTGTACGTCTTCCGGGAGTGGCTTTAAACGGAGATTGCTGACGCGTGCTTAGGGGATTTGAGCAAGCGAACAGATATATGATCTTGGACGCACAGGGGAACCATGTGGGATATATGGCGGAACAGGAAACGGGAATGGGAAGCATGATAGGTCGCCAATTCCTCCATACACATCGACCATTCGTCACTCACGTCTTTGATGTACACCAGAATGAAGTACTAAGGGTAGGGTTACAGTTCTCCTTTATACAAATAAGAAACGGACAGCTGGCTAACTTAGGCAGTTCCATCGTCCATTTTCGTGGATAAATTCACGTATCCGAGTCTACGATCCTTTAGAAGCGGCGGATCGAACGCGATCTGGACCTGCGGGGTCTCAACTTATAGCTGGGCCTACAGGAGGCGTTGCGAGATTATCAACTTTGGATCATTCACAAATGCGAGTGGTTGGAGAAGCACATCAAGAATGGGCCTTGTTGCGACGCAAGTACAACCTTTTTCTTTTCCATGAGCCGCCAATACAGGAAACCAAACTCTCGACACAAGCCATATCCTTTTCAAGCTCCAATCTATCAAAACCCCAGCAGTTACAGGTATCTCTAGTTGGAGGCGGTCTATCGCAAGCCCGGCTTGCACAATTTGCCTATGTGGACGAACCCGTACTTTCATGGGACTTCTCCCTTCGCACTGCTAGCTCGCAACTGATTGGATCTGTAAACCGCAATTTCGCAGGATTTGCACGAGAAATCTTTACGGATACGGGTATATATGCTCTTCGTATGGATTCAGCCGGTTTGGAGGACCAGAGGCTGCGAGAGGAGACTGCACGAGCTCAAGCTCATCCAAACATTTTAGCTCCCAAACGGGCTGTACCACCACCGATGACCTTGGATCAGCGAGCAGTCATGTTAGCGACTGCAGTCAGTATAGATTTTGATTATTTTAGTCGACATAGTGGCTCTCATGGCGTGCTTCCGTATGGCATGATGGGACTTGGCGGCGCAAGCTCTGAAGGCGTGGCTGGCGGAGCGGCAGCGGGGATGGCAGGCGCAGGCACGATGGCAGGCTACGAAGCGATGAGGAGGGGATCTCCGACAGAACCAGATGTCGACCAACAGCCAACATCGCAGGAAGGGGATGTGAGTCCAGGCGAAAAGAGCTGGGGTGAACAAGGGCCTGGACACTGGGACGAACCCGTTGACGAAGAGAGTCAGCACCAAGATGGGTGGCCTGGTGAATCTGGGGATGGTGACGACTCGTGGTCAGACTTCTTCTGAGTATCACGGCATCTGAAGCATGTGTACTCTGTAACTGAAAAAAAAAGAAAGAAAGAAAAAGAAGAAAAGAAAAGGGGCAGTTACCGTGGAATCGTTTTCGTCTCAAAGCGACCGCCGGCCGCCGATTCTATTATAGTTCAGCATCTCGAATATAAGGCTGGCTGATGCAGGGTCACTTGCTCCGGAAGAGCCTTCATCAAAAAACTGCCAATATCAACTGCGATTGTTATCTGTGCTGCTCATCCACATTTTTATTGATTTCTACCAGCAATTGCCAATTAATAGCTCCTAATGATTGACCGTGCCCAGTCACCAACTATGAATACGAGCTTTCAGATCTGCAGCCACCAGAGCAGCCACCAACGTCACAATGGCCAAAGACATGCTGGACCAGTGGACCAGTGGACCAGTGGACTCAAGACCTTGAAGCTGATCCGCGCTTGGGTTTTCATGGCTGATCTAGTTCGTGAATGTGTAAAAACAGACGCCAATCAGCCATTGCTGATGTCAATTTGGACCATGCTATCACCTGCTTGTCGCAATGCCATGCATTGAATGCAGCTGAATCACCTTTCAAAAGGGTGCTCGTCGCCGCGCTCTCTGAAGCAACTAACTAGTTATCGGGGATGATCTCTGGCGGGAAACCTTTTAAAAGGCCGGGCCTTCTCCTTGGTGGCAGTTCGCTGAGATCATCTATTGTGCTGTACGTACTCCGTATTACCTGCTTTATTCGCATCGATTAACGACTAGCAGTGTTTGAAATGACCGGGCTGAAGAAAGACGTGGTGCCTTCCACCCATACGTTTCCAAATGACCCCCTTTTCCATCGACTTTCTCAATTGTCCATCGAGAAGACCGGAGTTTCCATCCATGATGAACACGGCGTCGATGCTAGCTATAGCGACTTGGTTCGTGATGTCATACACCTGCGTCGGGTCTTGCGCAAGCAGCTTCCTAGCACTTCGTTCGATGATAAAGGATGTTTGCGTCCTGAAGCCAGATACATAGCGTTCCTCGCATTCAATGGATACTACTTTATCGTGAGCTTCCTGGCCATTGTAGCTTTGGGAGGTGTTTGCGTACCGTTGGGTAAGCCCGGAAAGCCGTTCAAGGAAGATGAAGAGATGTTAATAGAAAGCTATCATAGGAACGACTGTTCGTCCGGAAGAAGCACTGTACTATTTGAATAAATGCAAGGCCACATCCATCCTGGTCGAATCTGGCACTCTCGACAGCGCTGTAAGGTTTAGAGAGTATTTTCGAGACCGGGCAGGCCGGAAGTTGAAGATAATTCGAATAACAAGGGGAAATCTGCGATTGAACCCATATCCCACGTTGGAGTTTGATGAACGTTTGATATTCTCCCCGACTGCGCCTTGCTTGGTTCTGTTTACATCTGGTACAACAAAACTGCCAAAAGGCGTTATCCTGCCGCGTCGGCTGTTTTATTGTCCGGATAGCATGATGAACTCGGAGGGCATGTTCTTGGTATCGAGCGCAAGACATTGGATTGGGGGTGCAACGGGCGTCTTATTTTCAGTGATTGATGGTCAAAAATTATATATCAAAGAGAGCGGATCCGGGCCTGCAAGCTATTGGAAAGTTTTCAAAGAGGGGAAAATCACACACACCAGCCTCTCTCCCGATAACCATGACAGGACTGATGGAATACTACAATGAGCATATCAGGGCCCTCCCTGCTGAAGAACGAGACAAATATGTCAACGGATTTCGGAGCCTCCAGGCGGTATACACGAGCGGTTCAGTGCTTGGTGCCCCCACCAAACGATTTTTCCAGGATTTGACGGGCGTATCAATTAGGAATGCGTATGGGTTGACTGAGATGGGCGGAGGAGTAATGGCCACTTCAGCTGGTTCAGACTGTTTGAAGGTGAGTGCCATGTCTGACTAGCGCCCATTCTACGAGCTTACCTTATGTGTCCTCCAGGGATGTATTGGTACGCCTTTGCCGGAAATAACAGTGAAGCTCTCCGGTGGTGACGAAGGCGAAATTCTCGTCAAAAGTCCAAATATGTTCCTCGGGTAAGGGCTCTGATAACGGTTGTGTTTTACTGGAAACCACTATTTACACCGCACATAGCTACGTTGATGATGAAACTGCCACTCGCGCCGCCATTGATAATGAAGGGTTTTTCAAGACAGGCGACTACGCTCGCCGTGTTGGGGATCGTTACTTTCTCGACGGCAGAGTCTCATGCGATTGTACGTTTTATCGTCAAGGTTTTCGTTGACAAGGGCTAACTCATGATGCGTGTTAAAGGGGTTCGGTTTCATGACTTTAAGATCCCGATCCTCGAGCTTGAACAGTGTTTGATGGATCTTCCGTATGTCTCTGAAGCCCATGTCCTTCCTGTATTGGACCACAAAGCCGGTGGCTTGGTTGCCGCGCTCGTTCGACCGCAAAAATCGGTTATCGTTGCTGGGAAAGTTCACGATATTACCCTTAAACGGATCCGAGACGATCTAGCTGCCGCTGATGTAATTGCATATAAACTACCTACACTTTTACGGATTCTCAAGCACGGAGAGCAGCTCCCTTTGACCGGGTCTGATAAAATAATAAAAAGGGAATGTCTCCGGCAATTCTTCGACATTTCTGGATACCTACCAGAGCAGTATGCGGTAGACGGCGTGGAATACTGGGGAAACAATTTTGATCCGGCTGCTCCCACACGCACAACCGACTGGGGAATGCTGTAACAGGCTTCTCAATCCTGAGTGGGACAGCCAACGGATCATGTAGATCAAGGTACCTAGCAAGATCCATGTTGGTTTTGATGATTGCGAAACAATGTTTTCTCAGCGTTCGCTCAGCAGACAGTTCCGCCGCTGAAACCTTTACAATTCTTCACTGGAAAGCATTTGATACCCTCGGTTGATAAGGTCAGCATGTGTTCCTGACATGGAACCCCCATGACTGGGATCGTGGGATCTACCGGTTGTTGGTCTTAGCGTATCTTGCTGAAACAACAAGTTCGTCTTGGGAGTGCGTCGCTGGCCCAGGCGTGTTGCATCATCAACGTCTTGGTGGTAATCACAGACCACCTCCCCTGAATATCTCCGCATGACTTCAATGTCCAAATACCGGGACAGGTTTGTTCCAAGGATCCTGGGTTGACCTCGCTGCAGAGGACGTTTCCTATATAGCCTCGATGGCCCTTTCTCATGCTGCATCAGTCCTCGCCATCCTTTCGGTATCTGCCATAGAAAAAAGTCGTTTTTTGTGTTTAACTCTGCCCTAGTTGGCCCTGCCATTCCTTTTCGAGCCATAATACTCACGTTCTTTTCCTCTCTCCTTCGGAAGCCTTTCCTTGTTACCTCTTAATTCACTCTTTGATATATTCATACAGGATGAAGTCCATCTTTTTCACCCTTCCACTGCTCGCGGCAATGGTGTCTGCGAGGGCGGTCACTCCAAGCGCAGCAGGCCTTGAACTCCCCGGCCAAGCTTGCGCGACAGAGCTTGCTAAGTGTGTTGAACGTGCTGTAAGTTCTGGAGATATTAATGGCTTCAAGTGCTTTATCGAGAACGGTAAGTTAACCCTAGGATATACGGGCGTGGTTTGCTGTGTTAGAGAGACTGATCGTTGTCGCAGACGCCTGCAAGGGAGGCATTATCCGCAGAGGTGGTGCCGCGATCCCTGAGCCTCCCACCCTTCTTGAAATTCCAGGGGCTCCCGCCTTTCCAGAACTTGCAAAGAAGATTATCGACGCTATTCGAGAGGTCATTGGTGGAAACACCGATGTTGATGTTGACGCCATGGGCAAGAAGATTGCCAGTAACATTTCCCGCCAACGGCTTCGATATCGGCACCTTAATCAACGAAATCATCAACGCACTTGACGGCAAGGCTGGCGGTATTGATATCGGTGCGATCGTTAACAAGATTATCAAGGCCATTGGGGGGATTGCTGGCGGTGCGGGGGTTCCTCCAGCGGGCGTCGACGTTGGCAAAATCACCAACATTATCCTCGGCTCGATGAAACACAGCCGGTCAGCTCAGGGACAGATTGACATCGGCCAGATCGTGCAGCTTATTACCAAGCTTCTTGGCAACGGGGGACCTTATGACTTGGGCAAAATCATCAACGAGATTATTCACGCTTTGAACGGAAAGGCCGGCGGACTCGATGTAGGCGCTATTGTCAACCAGATTATTGCGTTGATTATGTCCCTGAACAGCGGTGGCTTAGCCCGCAGGCAGGAGGTTCCCATCGACATTGGGAAGTTGATCCAGGTCATTATCGGAGCCATTGGAAGCGGCAACGGTGGCGACATTGATATAGGCAAGTTGATCCAGACGATCATTGATTTGATCCCCAAGGGCGGACGATAAGGGTTCCACGAATCCATCTTATTCCCCACCTGGTCTTGGTCTCTCAATTCCGGCGTTCATCGGACTCGAAAGATGTAAAGGCGGGCTTTAAGAATCGTGAAACTTTAGATGATTTTGAATCACTCTCTTTGGAATGATCTTATAGCACATAGGTCCCTTAATATTGTTTAACAAGCCTAATCAATCTTAATCAATCCCAAACCTGGATATCTTCATGATTCCTAGATATATCTTGACTTTAATAAGAGCAGTAATAATATATCAACCGAACAAACTTCGGATGAAAGCTGGGGCCGCCAAGCTCCATCGGGCCCCACCCATAAGGCTGGCCAATAAACCGGCGGCACCCCGACAATAAGCTCCCGGCTCTCGGCACGTCAAAATCGGGATCTCCCGGATCCGGGATAACTAGCCCATCGTCATCGCCAGCGCTATTAGTATTGATAATTTGATAGCTTCAATATCATTGATGCGTTCAGCCGTACATTTGCTCGGTTTTGCTCAAGTGCTTACTGTGCTTTATGTTCTGTGCATACACAGTAGCCTGTTAACTAACTAGTTGTAATTTGTGGTCCAGGCTTTGTATTTCGTGCAAGTCAGCTTCCTGGACAGGCTGGACTTGCCTGCATGCGCATTTTCAACATGGAGAAAAGGTATCAGGACCTCTTATTTTGATACTCTGGACATTCTATTTATTATTTATTACTCAAAGGATTTGAACCTGGCCGCAAAAGGACAGGACCGACAGATATGGTCACATGATGCTTTTCAGGTCCCTGTATGACTAATAATCCAAGCTTGACGGACTTTCGTTGTCCCATCATGTTCAGCTCGACTGCATCAACCATTGCAACGCCTTTCAGCGACATCGAAAGCGGGTAACATACTGATTATAAGATTATTTACTAGGATACGCCTCCACCCAGCTCTTCTAGTCTCTTTTCTATCGGAATAATCTACCTTCAGTCTCTAGACCCTTCCACCCCCCTCGCGAAAGACCCCGCTTCTCGGCTTCATGGCCTCATCCGTCGCGCAAAAGCGCTTATTTCACGAATACAAACTGCTCTCGACTTCTCCACCCGACGGAATCACCGCCGGGCCCGTTAGCGAAGATGATATGTTTATATGGGAAGCTTTGATCCAAGGCCCAGAAGGCACACCGTTCGAGGGCGGAATTTTTGCCGCCGAGCTCAAATTCCCAAAGGATTATCCGCTGAGTCCGCCTTCGATGAAATTCTTGGGCGGAGGGGTCTGGCATCCAAATGGTAAATGCCCTTCTGCCCTTACTCCCGGCCCTTTCCCTCTTACCCCCTGTGGTCTGAAGACGCAGAATGCATGGTGGGCTAATTGGATTCGATTACCTCTGTTTCTAGTATACCCGAACGGCTCGGTGTGTATTTCAATTCTGCACCCACCCGGCGATGATCCAAATCACTACGAGCACGCCTCGGAGCGCTGGAGTCCGATACAGAGCGTGGAAAAGATTCTGATCAGTGTTATGAGCATGCTGGCCGAACCAAATGACGAGAGTCCCGCGAATGTCGAAGCTGCCAAGATGTGGAGAGAAAGGAGAACAGATTATGAGAAAAAGGTTAGAGAGGAAGTGCGACGGAGCTTAGGGCTTTAAAATATACCTCTCTTTGAAAGATCTCCGAGTATCTATGGGATGTCACGACGTCAGTTGTACTCTCTGAGCTATCAACTGATTACCCTATTCACAGTTTCGCGACTGAGCGCCTATAAATACGGACTTTGAGGGACCTGAGTCAGGCCCTAAATGACTTCCACTTGAGGGTCAGGGTCTCAACATTCTCTAGATGAATTCTCTCAGCTTCCTGTTAAGCCAGCATTCGATACCTCCGCTCTGTTCGTATAACACCTCAATTTCCGCCTTCGCATTTAGCATCAACATCCTTTGCAATTCTAGCCTCCATTCCGGCTCCTGATCATCTGAGAAAGTTGGACTTTTCGATAGCATTGCTTGGGCTTTTTTTCTGTCGCGAGGGGTTAATGGGATAAGCGGGAAATCAGCCGTTTCCTTTCCACTAACGGCAATATCAGCGGCCCTCAGACCTAGCCATTCGATACCCGGAACGTTAAGTTTTGCATTCTCATGGATTTGGGCTATGGATCCGTATTTGTAGGTTGACATAATTGCTATCCCATCCGGATCGCTATCCACCAGGATACAGGTTGGGATGCATTGTTGGACGGGTTGAAAGTTTTTCTTATTTGCTTGCGAGAAAATGGTTTCCCATACCAGACGTAAAAAGGCTCTAGTGGATAAATCTGGATAGCCTTTGCCCTAACGCGACATGTATTAAGATTTGAATTTCTAGCGGCCTACAATCTTTAGTAGGGTCCTTACTGTTATCAGCATACCTCCACCAGCAGTCGACGATTTGTGGTAATTCGAAGTCACTAAACGGTGGAAAACAGCCTTTATTCGTTAGGCCAATTATGCCTCCGGGAGCATATAAAGCCTACCCTCTGTTTTTGGGGAGCATCTTACCTCCTTCTCGATCACTAGGACCCATCGAACACCTGATAAATCAAGTTCCGCGATCTCGTCAACTCTTGGTATAAGAATTCCCTGTCAATTGGTTAGTAGAGTTTTAAAAACGTAGGTGTTGCATGGTAGAAAGTCCAATAACCTCAGCGTGCTCTCCAACGTTCAGAACATGTCCATTCTGGAGACAAATCTTATAACAGCCAGCAGTAAGGCCTATTGCTGCCGCTGCCTATTCAACTCTATTAGTACTTTAGAGAACTAGGCATGTGCGAAAGCAACAAACCACATGTAATGCAGGGCGGCCCACTCCGATAGTATAGGCAATATCGTCGATGTATGTATCGACCAATCTCTGAGAGCCGAAATACGCTGGATCGAGGTAGTATATGTCTCTTTTGGAGGCGACGAATTGGCCATGGATGGCTTCCGAGATATGCCCAAGAATACGCACAACAACGCCTAGGGATTGTCCGCGACGTCAAAATGTCTCTATCATCACCGGCAATAAAGCGCGTTCCGAGCGAAGGTGATTTTGATTCCTCCCACTGTTGCACGGATTGACTTACCAAAAGCCCATGCTTCCCTCGCTGTCTTGCCTGGCCAAGAATACGTAACGACGCATTCTCGCCCATGCCCATTTGCCTGTAATGCCCCGGTGGCTACATTTAGCGAGCAATTAGCGCGCGTAGGCCGACGTTTCAGCGTCAGTGATGGCCGCCCATCGGGCTTTGATAGTTCATCGACAACGGAACTAAGTTGGGCCTCGAGGAACTGTTTGACTTTGTCCTCGTCGTGACTGTTAGCACTGGCGCCTGGACATTCTCCAGTCATAGACATCGTGTAAGAAAGAAACGAGCCAACATGGGATATTGGCTGTGCTTCTCGTCGACGGTGTGCGAGGGATTTCCCCTTTTGGCATGCACGTGAGCATCCATTTATCTAGAATGATAGCGACAGAGTATTCGATGGGTATCAAGGGCCCACGGCGTGACACTTTGGTACCATCATCTAGCATTATCTCTAGCTAGGCCATTGATTTCAATGCCATCGGCCTTTTCCTTTAATGTTTTCAGTTTGTCGACAGTCATGTTCTCCTCCGAGACGAGCTCTTAAAGCGCTGACTCAGCAGAATCAAATCACATGCTTCCCCTATTTTGATGGTTGGGGTTGACGAATGTTGCGGCCTGCGCGGCGCGCATTCTCCTCAGTATCATCATCAAGTTTGAAGCTGGGACTGTTTGCAGTGCCTGCGGAGAGTCAAGATGGAACCCAAGGGCGTGAGGCAGCCCAATGGCTCCGGGCCGCCACAAGACAACGGAAAAACCGATTATTCAAGATGGAGATTGCGGTCCGATGAAGGGAGGCACACATGGCACTATTTGAAAACAGACAAGGAGGTGGAGGAATGGCCCCAGACTATAGCCGATAAATATCATTTGGGTCTTCCCACAGTTGGTGCTGTCCATGAATATGCAGCTGTTCGTAGCTAACCGTTCGACAGGGACTTCCCGAACTGCCTCACCCCAAAACTCCTCTAGATGCCGCTACGAACGGATTATCATTCTTCTCGCACTTGCAATTGCCTCAGGGTCATTGGGCCTGTGAATACGGAGGTCCTATGTTTTTGCTTCCTGGGCTGGTTATCACCTGGTACGTGACCAAAACGCCCGTCCCTCCGGAGATTGCAACCGAGATGAAACGATACCTATTCGCACGACAGCACCCAAAAGATGGTGGATGGGGTCTCCATATTGAAGGACATAGCTCCGTGTTTGGCACGGCATTGAACTATACTGCTTTGCGCCTCCTTGGAGCTAGCTCTGAGGACTCAAAAATGATCAAAGCCCGCGGTTTGTTGCACAAGTTGGGCGGCGCAGTGTACGGTCCTCACTGGGCGAAATTCTGGCTCAGTGTCCTAGGTGTGATGGATTGGGATTGCGTCAACCCGGTGCCGCCAGAACTATGGTTAGTTCAATGCCCACCCGCCGTGCAGCTAAGATCCCTGTTAACATTCTTCAATAGGCTAATGCCCGATTGGGTTCCGTTTGCTCCATGGCGTTGGTGGATTCATATGCGTCAAGTATTCCTGCCGATGACTTATGTTTACTCGAAACGGTTCTCGTACCCCGCGGACGACCTCACGAAACAATTGCGCGAGGAGTTGTATACCCAGCCATACGAGTCTATCAACTTTGCTTCCTACCGAGGCTCGATCGCAAAGGAGGATAACTACTATCCCAAGACATGGTTGCTGAATTTTCTTTTCTGGTTTTTGGCAAATGTTTGGAACGTCTATCTCCGTTGGCCAGGTCTAGTCAAAACAGCGGAAAATTGGGTGTGGTACCTGATTGAGCGTGAAGATGAAAATACCGATTACGCCGGGTTAGGGCCGGTTAACGCCCCCATGAATACTCTCTGTTGTTATATCCATGATGGCCCTGGGAGCTACTCGGTCCGCCGTCACCTTGACCGTCTCCAAGACTACTTGTGGATGAAAAGCGAAGGAATGCTTATGAATGGGACCAATGGTGTCCAAGTATGGGATACTGCTTTTATAGTACAAGCAATTGTTGTAGCAGGGTTTGGGAATGATCCGAAATGGCGACCAATGCTTCAAAAGGCTCTAGAGTTTCTGGACGACCATCAAATACGGGAAAATGTTCCAGATCAAGAAAAATGTTATCGCTTCCGAAGAAAGGGGGCTTGGCCCTTCAGCACCAAGGTTCAAGGCTATACCGTGAGCGACTGCACCGCGGAAGGCCTCCGATCGACACTTCAGTTGCAGAATCAACTCGGGTTCCCTGTTTTGATATCAGACAGACGTTTACAGGATGCCGTAGACACACTACTGGAGATGCAAAATGATACTGGCGGTATCTCGGAATATGAGCCCAGAAGAGCTTCTCCATACATCGAATTCCTTAATGCTGCCGAAGTTTTCGGTGGGATAATGATTTCCTACGATTATCCTGAATGCACGACGGCGACTATCACCGCCTTATCATACTTTAGCAAGTTCTATCCAGATTACCGGGCGGACGATATAAAGCGGGCTCGCGATAAGGCTGTTGAATATATCCGTCGTGTTCAACGGCCTGACGGAAGCTGGTACGGAAGCTGGGGAATTTGCTTCACGTACGCGGCCCTATTTGCGCTTGAGAGCCTTGCTATGGTGGGCGAAACCTACGAGACCAGTGAAAGAGTTCGTCGCGGATGTCAGTTCCTACTTGACAAACAAATGGCTGATGGCGGCTGGGGCGAATCATACCGTAGCTCTGAATCAAAGGTTTATACTCACTCCGAGACGTCGCAAATGGTACAGACTGCTTGGGCATGCCTTGGGTTATTGGAAGCGGGATACCCGGACAAGGAACCACTTCGGAAAGCAATGAAACTGATGATGTCAAGACAGCAACCAAATGGCGAGTGGCTACAGGAAGGTATCGAGGGTGTTTTCAACCAGTCGTGGTAAGTTGTGGCTGTACTTTTCATGACAACATGAGCCCTAACAAGCTTTCCTAGCATGATCTCCTATCCGAATTACAAGCTTTACTGGCCGGTTAGAGCCCTTGGGCTTTACGCAAAGAAGTTTGGAAACGAAGAAATTATATGATTTAATCTTCAGAGACTGCCTCCGCGCAGCCTTACTTCTGGGTCTTTATAGATATACGATATTTAATCTGTACAATATAATTCGGGGCTTTACGTCCTTGTTTCAAGGGCTTCTATAAAGCAAGCAGTTTCACGGAAATAAGCCATCATTGTGCATTTGTAGCTGCTGCTGTGAAACAGCATTCTCCCATCTTCCATGAACTTATTATATTCTTCCATGCCGCCCGCTCCGTCCCGGATCACGTGGAGGAACAACAGCTCCATACCGGAAAAATGGATTTTTTGAATACCGTCAGATTACCATTCATCCAATCCAATACATAGATTCCATGCCAAGAATGTAGAACCCACATAGAAGCTTGTGAGATCAATGTTTAAATCAGAAATCCATAGAAAGGGTCACCTACATAACTATTTGAAATGTGTGAGTTTGGAATTCCAATCAGGAAGGAAGAATGATGCCATTGGTAAAAACTATTTTAAAAATTCTTCCACCCACCCACCTGAAGATAAAAACAGAAGAATAAAAATGAGAACCCATCCACTCATTCACTTAAAAACAAAAACACAAAAAAATCAGTTCTTCAGAATAAAATTATACTTCTTCTAAGTCTTCTTCATTTCTTCATCTGCTAAAATGGACTTGAAGCTGACTGAACTTTCAGCAGGGGTGAGAAGAGATGACAACAGCACAATAAACATAAAGAACTGTAACAGAGACAATGAAATTCACTTCATGATTTCTTATAGAGTCTCAAAAATCTGACTGAAGCCAGATGCAGCTGACAGCACACCATCAAACAAGATACAGAAGACTGAAGTTAATGTCATTTAAGAGAGAAGAGTGAGACAAGCAGACTTTACTGACAGACTGACAGTGGAACTTTCAATCTTTCTTTTTCTTTATATACTCTGTCAGTATAATTCATTATTTACAGAATGCTGAACTACTCACACCATCAGCAGAAACACTTTTAATCTTCTTTCAGAAAGCTGTGATATTGCTCTTAAGAGAGTCAACTTTAGTTTCAATTTGCTATTCAAATATATCAGTACAATTTGGCTAACAAACATATAGTGTGAGGAGCTAGATTTAATGGATGTATAATCAAAACAGAAATGAGCTACTAGTGTAGAGGATATAAGAAAATATGTGGTGGAAGCAAGTATATAGTATATGCTATAAGTAGATAGAGCTCATCACTGACCTGTGTAAGAATGAGGACAGTGTTGAGAAATTATATACAAGCAAGATGTGTGCTACTAAGATTTAAAAAGTCTAGTGTTAGAGTCTGGCATGACAATTGTCTCTCTGTTTGTTGAGAGCTGTTCCTGACAATTATTATAGTTTATAGATGTTGCTATCAGTATAGTATTAGATGTTGGTATTTAATTGTTCAGCTGCTTGCAATATTATTGGGTGGTGGGTAGCTTGAGTGATGTTGTGCAGTTGTGGTGTGGGTGTGGGTGTGACACAGTGGTGCTGGTGTGGTGAGGTAAGCAGAGTGGTGAGATAAGTGGTGGTGATGTAAGTGAAATGCTGATGTAAGTTGAGTGAGTCACACATGATGTGTTGAGATGAATACTCTCATTAAGCTGAAAGTGTCTTTTTCTAATTGAAGTTAGCACTATATCAGAATAAACAATAAAGAATATTTGTGATCTGCTGCACTTCTTTCTCTTCTCTTTTTCTTTCTGTAACATCATTACTTTGAAAAAGTGTTTTTATCTGTGTCTGTCTGTCTGCTGTTGCTTGCCTGTCTTTCTGCCATCATGACTGAATCTTTTTTTTTGTGAGTCTCATTAACACATCAGATGTAGAATGATGGACATTCTATGTTGTGAATGAGTTGTTTTGCTGGTTTTGCTGCTTGTCACATGCAAGTTACTGCTCTGATGCAGTAGTTGACTTTGTTATGATATCTGATCTTTATGACTATTTCTGTTGTTGCTTTTGATGTTGTATTCTTGCTGATGCAGTGTCAATGCTGTTTGTGGTGTTTCATGAACTTTTTGTTGCTGTAAATGCTTTTATTTTATTATTTTGTTACTGTCTTTGTATTTTTTGACAAGAACTTGTTGTCATTTGTATGAATTTTTTGCTTACAATGCTGTTGCTGACATGTTTATTTGATGTGAGTATTAACTGTTTACTAACATACTGTTTGTTAATAGATGTATTCTGTGCATCTGCTGTCTCTTCTGCTATGAGGACTCTGATTTTTTCTGTGCTGTTCTTTCAGAGAGAGAGAAGTGTGAGAAATGCTGCAAGACACATTATCTCTGCATTTCTGTATGTGCTGCCAGCAAGTTCTGTTGATAAATATAGCACTGATGAGTGTATGTTAATAGACAGAGAATAGTAAAACTCTTCAGCAGATTATTAATCTCTGTAATCTGATCTTCTTCAACAGAAGATTGAGTTGTGTTGTTCAATCTGACTGCAACAAGCTTCAACAGCTTATTGCTGAACTTAATTGATTTGTGACTCTGATGCAATTTCAGAAAGCTCAGATAGCTGCTTTTGCTGATGTTGCTAGATGCTGTGTGCTGCAGACTATTCAATCTGATGAGACTGTCAATAATTTCAATAATAATTACTTCTCATCTGTTATCTTCATCTCTGCCTCCTCCACCATCTGGGATGCTGATAGTGATGATGATGATGATGATGATGATGATGAAAGTGCCATTAATAAGAATGATGTTGACTCTTCTTATGAGAGAAGTCATACTGTATCAGAGAACTCTGACAGCAGAGCTGTTGCCTCTAGCAATGTATAATCTCAGACAGTGCTGCAGTTGCAGTGGTTGTTCTGATCTGGTGTGGGACTTGTGATTTTGTCTCTGAGTGATGTAGGTC